TCCTAGCGGCAATTTTTGCACTAAGCTTTGCTGGCCATTGGTCCCGGCCGGTCCGGTCCGGTTAGTTGTGAGACTTGAGTATTTGTTGTTGTTTTTGGTTCTGTTTTAGTTCCATTTGGTGTTTGTGTCGTTGTCCTTTTTGTGTGTTTGTCGGTGTGTTTTGTTTTTTAATTTGTGTCAAATTTAACTTGAGGCTTTCTAATTGTCTTTCCGTGTGATTTTATTTATTTGCTCTACGTTCTTCTGCTGTTGCCGGGGGCTATGGCTTTTTGTTGTGGCGGTGCGTCACATTTTCTGTGTCACTTTTATTTTTGTACAATGAAATTTGTATACTTTGAGAATTTTAGGAATTTTGTTGGGTTTATTTTCGTTGTTGTTATTGTCCATGGTTCTGACCACTTGGACCATTTACGTTGGGGTTTGTGTTTAATCTTCTTCTCTGTATCTCTGTTTTCGCCACTGTATTTATTTGCGAATTACATTAATTCGGTAATTCTATTTACATTTACCTTTAAGTTGATTAATTCACTTAATAGAAATGCAATTTATTGGGGTCATGCTGGGATTTATTTTTTAATGAAGCAGAGGAGGTAGTTGAAGGCGAAAAATAATATCAAATAATATGAACAAATATGGATGTATATTTATTTATTAAAAAAACGTCGTAAAGTTCAACCGAACTGAGCATTTCATACCATCAACTATTTAAAGTACCAGGAATAGTTAGATTTTTGTTAGGAAGTGTCAAAAGTACCGATAAATAGGGGTAGGGAGCGAGATTTGTTACCCAATGGGAACTGGAAGTGCCAAATTAGAGCCAATTCGATTAAAAAACATGCCCAAAGCGTTTTCGCTTCCCCCTATTCTGTATGAATAGGGACGAGCACCAACGGGAGCTGTAATTTCGAATTTTCGATATTGGTGGCCGAAATAAATGATATATGTTGCCATGTTGTAATATAAGCTGTCATGTGTGTTGTCTAGATATTGTATTTACCGGGTAAATACACAAGGGTGGGTAAATACCCATTTGCGGCTATGTATTTGAGTATTTACTATATTGAATCGCTAATACAACATCTTACATCCTATTTCCGGATATCTGTTTTTAAATAGATTCAAACTGGATGGTTTCATAATACTTCACACACGTGGGTAAATACCCGAGTATATACCCAAAAATTGAATATAATCTCATTAACTGGCGAACCACTTGACAGGCTGTTAAAATTGTTTTGTTTTTAATGTCAAAGTGAATACTGATATGGAAAATGTGGTCTCTGGGTCCATGTTTTGATATAGCCCACATATAACCGTTTCAACATTTATCTAAAATTTTACGAAAATATATATGGGAGATATATCTAAATCTGAACTGATTTCAATAAACTTGCCAGAGGTTACGATATATTAACATCAGTACATGGTACAAATTGTGTGCCAATCAAACAAACTTTTGGTATTTAGTACACAATTTACATAACATCGGACGAAAATATATATGGGAGCTATATCTAAATCAAAACCGATTTTTACGAAACTTAACACACATCATTCCAGACTTAATTTAGTACGTTACGCCAAATTTCATGCAAATCGAAAGAAATATATTAAATCGGACGAAAATATATTTGGGAGCTATAACTAAATCTGAACCGATTTTCACGAAACGTAACACACATCATTCTAGACTTAATTCAGTACGCTATGCAAAATTTCGTGTAAGTCGAAGGATATGCAGGGACTTTGGTACGCCATTTAAATTAAATCGGACGAAAACATGGACAGATAAGCGGATATGCACAAATCGACTCCGAAAGTGATTCGAAAGTCTATCTCGATTCGTTTTGCCTGTTACAAACATATGCACACAGATATAATACCTTGTACCACAGTGTGGTGAAGGGTATAAAAAGACATGTCTTTGTATTTTGTAAATTCAATATCAAGTGCTATTATTTACCAAGTCTATATCAAGTCAAAATTGCGAAACTTCCCAATTTCATATAAACCAAATGAAGTATTCAGTTGCACATATAAATATTTTTCCAAACCTACATTAAATTCGAACATTAAATAGAACAATACTTCTCCTTATACCTTTCCACTTTAATACACAACCACATGGAAATTGTATGTAAGCTACCCTGAAAATTGAGCCAATAGCCCGAAATCCACAAAATATCGAATATTTGGGGGTAGATGTCTCAAATGAATTGACTAATACGTTCACTTTTTGTTGGAGTGTATACAAAATAATATTTGCGTAATATTTTTGCTAAGCCTTGATAAATATGGGTCGATATGATGAATTCCAATGTGAAAATATCTTGAGTCAATAGGCAAAATATGTCTTATTGGTCAGTAGAAAATCCACATGTGCATCATGACTTCATCCACAAAGAATAACTATGGGTCATTGGCCCATACGTTTTAGTCGGTTGTTAGCCGTGTTCATTCGATTTTGGGCTCCGCCAAGTCATTGGTATACGTTGGAAAACTCAAAGCTAACCTGAACGCGAAATGTCGAAAATTTCGGCAAATATCTACTGTCTCGGTACACGTTTTGTTAAATTTTTGAAAAGGGTTTATTTATAAACCAGTGAGCGGAGCAGTATAGTCGGACGGGGCCGACCATATGTTACCCTACACAACTACCACCGAACTCTAACTTTTGCGTATGTTTATTTCGACCTGATCAATATTTCGTGATATCCATAAACATGTCATTCTGCAACCTATCCCAAATTTGTCATTTCGACAGATATTGAGTCATTTATTTAGAATGGGACAATATAATAAAGCAAATCTGAATCTGACACCCGTTGATTATTTGGGGCCCTATTAACATGAATTCTGTCGAAACCATATATATGCGCTATGTCTGCATTTCTACAAAACGCAATTACGTCATTCTATGCTCTATTTTGTACGTTGTGCAAAATTGTGGATCAATTTTAAAAACATGAGGAGTTTGGTTCACCATTTACTTAAAATGGAACGAAAATATATTTGAAAGCTATATCCAAATTTTGAATCGATTTCAAGGAAACTTGGTACAGGTTATGTTATACTAACATCAGTATGTTTTGTGCCTATGGCCTTATTTTAGGTCTTGGTGCACCATTTACTTAAAATCGGACGAAAGTACATATGGGAGCTATATCTAAAGCTGAACCGATTCCAACAAAACTTGACACAAATAGGAGCTATATATAAATTTGAACCGATTTTCACGAAACTTAGCACACATCATTCTAGACTTAGTTCATTACACTATGCCAAATTTCGTGTAAATCGAAGGATATATTGGGTCTTTTGTGCTCCATTAACATAAAATCGGACAAAAATATATATCGGAGCTATATCTAAATCTGAACCAATATCCTCTAATTTCAATAGGGTTTTTACTTGGACGAAATAAATGAGCTGTACCAAATTTCATCCAAATCGGATTATAACTGCGACCTGTACTTTGTTTACAATTTAACATCAACAGACTGACGGACAGAAGGACATAAATCGACTCAGAAAGTGATTATATGCATATTCTTAAAACGAACCTTGGGTCTATCTCGATTCCTTTTGCCTCTTACAAACATATGCACAAAGATGTAATACCCTGTACCACAGAGTGGTATACAAATCTAAAAAAATGTATACCTTCCTAAAAACCCTAACAAATATTAAAAGACCAGTGATCGGAAAAGTATAGTCGGACGGGCCGAATATTTACGCCATAATATAAAAATTTGGTCACTTTAGATTTTGGTTGATTTGACCCTCGGATCCCCTTCACCGTATAAAATATGTTATGTTCTGCATGTAATAATGATCTCTAGAGCGACTAGAATATAAAGTTTTCTATTCATTGCTCCTTCTAAATATCACATCAACATCACGGAACGTATAACTCCCACATCCGATTACATACAACAATATAAATGGTCTCAATTTCAAGGCCAGCAACTCCAGTAGGATATATTATGTCCTTCTGTAGTAAATATATACGCCATAGAATACAAATTTAGTAATTTTTCACACAAAAGTCACATTTGACCAAATAAATATGGACAGATCTTCATTAAAACAGTCATGTTTATTCTTTAGCCAGATTCCCTACCTGGTGTAACACTTCGTAGTGTTCTGGTCATAATTGTGGTCTCTAGAGCGACCAGAAAAAAAGACAAAATTAAAGTTCCCCTACATATTAACGGATCATTACCAAACACAATAGGGGTCTTCTTTGGCCAGAACCCATCATACATACAAAATTTCGTGACGTTTGATCCATAACTGAGGCCCGTATCGGACGGCCAGACACACATGTCTAGATCGACTCTGCTGGTCGAGATATGACTATCGGTATACTTAAAGATGAGTCTAGGACCAATATTTCGCGGCGTTTCAAACTCTTGAAGTTGCTCAATGCTATAATTCCCTAACAATATGTGGCCTGTTCCCGTACTGCAAGAATCGATTTTACTATTTTCTTCGATATCATAAAGGAAAATTTGTTATCGTAGTAAAAAGTAGTAGATTCTTGCAGTACGGGAACAGACCAATGGTTGTGTAGGTTATACAAATTTTGAAAAATTTTATAAAAAATCAAAATGCTATTTTACTGTCAATTCTGATATAAAATTTGTTTCGAAACTTCGAAAATCTATATTGTCTATTCAAACAATTCCGTGGAAAAGAATGACCAAACCCATGAAAATGATCACTAATGGAGCTGTCCTTATGTGGGAACTATATCAAGCTATGGACCGACAATTGCCGTTTTCAACGCGGACTCTCATAAAATTTTTTTATATGTACATCATATAGTATTATCAGTTAATTATATTCTAATATATTATTTCCTTTTAGATCATTTATATGTTGCTGTGTGAACCTTCCCCTCCCAGTACGCCTGAAGAAATCCTAAGGTAAGTTTTTTTGTTATATCAACTTTATTTTTACATATATATGTATTCATGTGTAACTGTTAAAATATTTTACTTTACAGATTTTAGCTTTTTAACATATAATTTTCGTTTACTAGAATTTGTCTGCTTTCCCAAAGCGACACTTGATTCTTTGCTTCTAAAATGCCTTATATTCTGCTTGTGGCGCATTAACTTGCCCACTCTCTTCTTCTTAGATGGCCTCACATGACCAGACAAACTACTGACAATTTGAGGATTTTCTAAATTTTCCACATTTGATTTGGGTTTACTGGGAGTGATGATCCTCTTCATTTGTTTCTTGGCCAAAATAGGCTTTGTTAGAGATTTTGCAGTATCGTCCACATTGTCCATCATTAATGGCTTTTTGTTTGGGAATTTCTTTTCTCCGTCACCAGTTCTCTTCATCTTCTTCATGGCTTTTGAGGGATCATTTCCAAATGCCTTTGCCGCCTTTGCAATCGAATCAAAATCACCAAAAACTTCCAAAATACTTTTGTTGACATATTCCAAATAGCACAGAGATGAATGGCAAACATTGCATTTTGATTTACCGTTATGAGTCACGGCATTTGTCCGTATCAAACTTTCCAAGTAGAGGAAATTCTTGGCCATGTTTTCGCAATGAGGACACTGGTTTGTAGGCGGCTTCTGTAGTTGGTTCAGAGTGGTGTTCTCCTTGGTTTTTGATTCGATGAGACCCGCCTTTTCATAGAAATTATTTGTGGAATTTTGTGGCACAACATAGCCGTTGGACTGCTTGACCTCTGTTTCACCCAAACCAATTAATTTTTTCATAACTGAAATTTTATTCGATTTTTCCAACATAACGAATTTTTATTTATTTCGAATATATTTTTTATTTTAATTTGTTTTTTTTTTCTAAATATTTCTATTGATAGATAAATCAATGACAAATTGTCATGTTGGTGTTTTTTGTTGTTGTTGCTGCATTTTTCACTTGTTCTGACACACAGTATTCATTATCTATCATTTTAGTTACATTTCCATCTTAACACTGCCACGGCAGGACAAACACATCCACACACAACATGTTGACTTGGTCCTTTTTTTGCTGCTTTATTCCATTCCATTTTTGCAAATTTTGTGATGAAGTCTTCGGTGTTTTTTTTTTTAGTTTTGTTGTTGTTAGTGTGGGTTCTGGTTGTTGTTTGTCGCTTTCCACTTTCAATTCCATTTGCATTACATGCCAGTTCAATTCGTTTCTATGCTCTGCTCCCATATGGATGAACGCGGTTGACAAGCGACGACGTGTAAATGTAATTGCCTACATCAGCTTTGAATTTAGATTTTTGCACACTAATACACCCACTCACACTCATACATACACATGGAGAGAGAAAAACACACATTGATGTAGTTTGGCATCAGAGTGATTGAAGTTTTTGGTTTCGAATGCTATTCACAGTGGAGAAAAAATATGCTTTAAAAAATCTACGCCTTTGGTAATCCTTGAAAAACTATTCCTTAAAAAATCCACGCCTTTGGTAATCCTTGAAAAACTATTCCTTAAAAAATCCACGCCTTTGGTAATCCTTGAAAAACTATTCCTTAAAAAATCCACGCCTTGGATAGGCCTTGAAAAACTATTCTTTAAAAAATTCACGCCTTGGTAATCCTTGAAAAACTATTCCTTAAAAAATCCACGCCTTTGGTAATCCTTGAAAAACTATTCCTTAAAAAATCCACGCCTTTGGTAATCCTTGAAAAACTATTCCTTAAAAAATCCACGCCTTTGGTAATCCTTGAATAACTATTCCTTAAAAAATCCACGCCTTTGGTAATCCTTGAAAAACTATTCCTTAAAAAATCCACGCCTTTGGTAATCCTTGAAAAACTATTCCTTAAAAAATCCACGCCTTTGGTAATCCTTGAAAAACTATTCCTTAAAAAATCCACGCCTTTGGTAATCCTTGAAAAACTATTCCTTAAAAAATCCACGCCTTTGGTAATCCTTGAAAAACTTTTCTTTAAAAAATCCACGCCTTTGGTAATCCTTGAAAAACTTTTCTTTAAAAAATCCACGCCTTTGGTAATCCCTGAAAAACTTTTCTTTGAAAAATCCACGCCTTTGGTAATCCTTGAAAAAATATTCCACGCCTTTGGTAATCCTTGAAAACTATTCCTTAATAAATCCACGGTCAAACCAGTAAGGAAAGTAGTAAAGTCGGACGGGGCCGACTATATGATACCCTTCACCACTATGGGTATATTAAACAGGACTATTAACATGAAATTGGATGAAATAAAATATGTGATATTTACCTAAAT